TGGTGATTCCAGCTCCTCGTAATTCCAGCCATCAGGAATCAGGAACCACCAGGAGCAAGAGAAGCATGAGGAGGAGGAGGAGGAGGAGGAGGAGGAGGAGGACGACGACGACGACGAGGACGACGAGGGAGGACGAGGAGTGGGGACGACGAGGAGGCTCCTCCTGGTGGGCCCGCTCCCCGCGCGCGCCCCTGCCGCTCGCCGCAAGGGGCCCCGAAGCCCCGCTGCCGATCGGCCCGCTGACGCTGCGTCCGACAGGAGCAGGAAGGCACCCTGAGATCCGACGATAGGGGGCCACACGTGAACCCTACCCCTACCCCCCACGATTTCTGAGGGGAGGGTGGGGTTCACTTCGTTCGGGAGCTCCCGAGCGAAGTGAACCCCACCCCCCCCCTCCCCTCAGAAATCGAGGGGGGTAGGGGTACGCCCCAGACGACGCGAAAGTCACTCTTGCCGATGTGGTGGGGCCGCGGGGAGAGGATCGACAGCACGTGAGAGCATCCCTTCGCCGGAGTGACCCTCGGTGCGGCACGCCAGGGCTCTCCAGATGGTCGGATGCGCTGCGGTAGGAGCGGCTGGCGCGCTCGGGTCCGGCCCCCCCGCGCCGCCTGGCAGTCGCGCACAGAAGGTCACAGACAAGGCCCCTCCTGGGTGTAGCCGCGAGCACGGAGTCGCTGGCGCTCCAGGCCCGGGACCCTGACCTCCTCCGATATGTGTGTTGCCAATCGGCGGCCCCAGAGAGGCCCCGACCCCTTCCCCGGGGGAAGCTGTGCGCCCCGTATATTTGTTTTGGATGGCCCCGGGGCCCCATGATAGCGGACCCCAGAGGCCAAAAGCAAACTAATCAGATCGTCGGGCCCTGAGATCCGACGACGCGAGAATTGTAGCATCATGGGGCACCACGCCCGGAGCCCTGGACCCCGTCTTTCTGCTCCATTTTGAAGGGGCCCCAGGACACACAAATAAATACACACAAATGAAATGATTCCCAATATTTTCCCATATTTTCTGGGTTTCTGTCTTCCCCCCACTTCCCATATTTTCCTATTTGTTCTAGGGAATCGAGGATTAATTGTGTCTGTGTGTTTTTTCCTCTCCTGGCATTTGTCGAGCTGGATGAACCTGTGGGAGAGTCCCGGGGCTCCTCGAAACCTAAAGCGCCCCGGTTAAAGAAGTATGATGCACGACAAAGATGCAATGGCCCTGGACGGTCATGTCGACGTCCTGCGAACCAGGTCATGCTTCGGCCACGTCGGTGGAAGACAGGGGAGGCCAAGAGGTGCCGATGCCGCTGCTCCCCTGACCTCTCCTTTTGGTGCCTTCCAACCTGACGTCCGAGGCGAATCCAGCGGTGGCAACGAGGGCATCTCAGGAGCCCTCGCGGGGACGTCTTCGTGGGGAGGGAAGCCCGCCGTGCCGACGCGGCCGCGGGAAGCCCGCAACAGGCCGGGCAGGAGAAGGAGGGACGAGGAGGAGGGAGGAGGAGGAGGAGGAGAAGGAGGAGGAGGAGGAGGAGGAGGAGGGAGGAGCAGGAGGAGGAGGAGGAGGATGGCCCCAGAAGACGAAAACGAGGGGAAGGGTATCGGTATGAAGGAAGGCAGAGGCCGCGGACGACAGAGCGGCCGATGGAGGCCCTCAGGCTTCGAGGGCGCCGCGCGCCACCGGCGGGAGAGGCGGCGTCGCCGGGCTCTCGCTGGGAGTCTCCCGATCGCCGCTGGGGGGCCGCCCGTCCCGGGGGCTGCCTCGCAGGCCCTGGTCGCCAGCAGGGCGCCGAGCGTGGCCCCGTGGGCCCCGGGCAGCCCCGAGATCCGACATCACGAAAATTGGCGGCGTGCAAGAGGGGGTAGCGCAAGGGGGGCGGCCTTCTAAGAAGGCGGGTTTGCATTCGCATCAGTAAATCATCATTATTCTACTTGTGTCGTGATCGTCATATTTTTCAATAGTACGAGTTGTATGTTTTCGATGTATCGATCTGTGCGAGATTCTCGCATGTTGCGAGTAATTTTAGTATCGGGCGGCTTCTAAGAAGGCAGGGGTCTTCTTAGAAACCCTTGGAACTTCTAGGAAGCCTCCTCGGAAGCCTCCGGGCCCTTCCGAGGAGGCCCCTGCCTTCTAAGACGCGCGCCGCCCTGTTAGAAGGCCCCCCCCCCCCCTTGCGCCACCCCCTTGTGCGCAGCGCCGAACAAACATCGAGACATCGTGCAGAATCACGACCAAAGCCCTGGACCACGTCATCATGATGGACCTGTGAGGGTCACGGGGCCCGAAGCCGGGCGAAAACGCCCGGTGCCAAAAACTGCAACGCACAGATCTCAGGGAGAGGCGCTCGAGGCCTGGCGGCTGGCCCGGTGTCAAAGGCCCAGAGGACGAGGAGGAGGAGGAGGAGGAGGAGGAGGAGCAAGAGCACGAGGAGGAGGAAGAGAAGGAGGAGGAGGAGGAGGAGGAGGAGGAGGAGGAGGAGGAGGAGCAGGGTGGGAGGAGGAGGAGGAGGAGGAGGAGG